TTTTTTTTTCTCTGGCTTTGATGAAATATTTAATTTTACTAATATATTTTAAATATTTTTTTATGTGAAAATATGCATATTTTCCTATTAAAATTTATATAAAATATATATATATTTTTTGTGTCATAAACCCATATTACGCGCATTAAATGTGTTTATCTGCGCACGGAAATTGCATTAATTAACGTATGCAGCGAAATGTGTCTAAATGTGTTTGCTTTCCCTTCAGCACTTTCACTCAGAAATGAGTAATGATAATAATAAAATGAGAGAAAACTATGCGTGCGTTTAATTAATATGCAAAATTTAGAACGTTTCAATGTTTATCAAAGCGCATACAATTAACATTTAATCAGTTATGAATAAATTGTTTTAGATATTTAGAGCACGAATTTTGGAAAATTTTAAAAATTAATATGGTATAATATTTTTTTTTTTTTTTTTAACATAAATAGAGGCAAAAAAATGTTTCAAAAATTGTTTCGGTACAAAATTTTTTAATGCTATCAGCGCTGGCTTACTGTATTTCCTTCAACTTTTAAACTAAATCGCAGCAAAAGTATTCCGTGAAGTTCGACCAAAATCGTCCACTGATGACGTCACTGTAGCTCTGGTGAATTCCGAAATTGACGAAAGAAAAGAATGCTAGCGAATTGCTCTTCAATGCCATGACTATAACGGGATACACGAGGAAATCTGTTCGATGGGTACCACGAATTTTAAATTAGGTCGACAAAGGCTTTAACTGCAACGTTAGTAAGACCCATACTATTCTAAGGCATGGACGTCCGGTGACCGGTACTGGAAACAACCACTTTCGATTCTCTGACTGTCAAGCTGTCATTAGATCTCCTCAAGCAATTGCATAAATAACAAAGTGTTTTGGAATGAGCTCTCGAATAAATGCACGACATCCATGCTCTGGGTACCCGACATAGAGACATCTGAACACAATAAATTCTGCATATGATGATACACCACCATATGTCCACTGCAAAACGCAAAAAAAAACAAGGGACTTAATCTTCCGAGACCAGTTGTCTATCAATATAACAACCGGTACATTTACAAGACATGGTTTAATGGTGCATCTCGGTACTGGTTACTATGAACAAAAAAAATATTGCAACATTTATAGAGCACACGAAAAGCTTCGTATATTTAAGATGGGTGGAACACTATAGTGGTACCACAATGGGCCAAATGGCTACAAGCTGACAGCCACATCAAGTCAGCTCAACCCATAGTAAAAATACTCAACTTTGTGGAAAGATTTTACGAGGTCGAGTAAATCCCAATGCCAATAAAAAATCGGGTTAACTGTTCTAGGCAATACTGCATTTAAATAGCTAACGGCGCCCTAACGTTGCAATAAGAATCAGATCAGCGACATCACTGTGAGCTTATCCAAGTAAGGATTATAAATGGGAAAAGGATATTATTGTAGTATCGAAAATTCCAACTGAAAATCAAACAGATCCAATAGACGCCGAGGGACGTACTTTGTTTTTAATACCAGCAGATGTAAAAATAAATAGCACATTTATGCCAAAGAAATCGCAAATTATTGTAGTACCATTTTGTTGACTTGCAACTTACCACTTTGAAAAATAAAAAAAAAATCCAATTGAAAGAAAAAACTTAAAACTTGGTGTATGTATGTTTGTTTTGTTTTCTAATAAGCATTGTATTTGTTTTATTTTGAAGTAAAGTTTACAATAAATATATTTAATATAGAATATACAATAATAATTGGCAAAATTAAAACAATAACTATTATTAAGTAAATTACTAAACTTAAAATAAAACAGCAAAAAAATCAATTAAAATAAAAAAAAAATCTTTCCGCTTTTTTATTCTGACTGTGGTGACTAATACATATCTACAGGCAGCTGCCAATAATATCTCTATATATAATATAATATAATCTATACAAATTTTTGGAAATCGATCCTTCTTAGTTGTGTTTTTCTCTTATTTAATATTATCGAAAAAGTCGCATATAATACATATTAGATTTAGTTACTGGTTTTATTTTCTTATAATTTTTTACATATAGATTTAAACTCTTGCCTTGTGTAGCGGTTTTTCTTGGTAATTTGTTGATTCATTTATTTCATATAAATGTATTGCTTTGTTTTAAAATATTTGCAAAGCTAAATTATTTGTGTACAATATCAATGTGTTTATTTTTTGTTTGCTTGCAAGTAAGTGCTTAGTTTAGTTTGATTTCACTTTGTTTAATTTTATTTTAAATTATTTTCATCAACTTTATTTTAACATACTTTGATTTATTTTTATGTTCCAACTTGGGTTAATATATTCAATTTACGTTTTATAACTTTCAAGTTTTTATTAAATATTGCGCTGTTTTATTTTATTATATTTTGTTTTAATTTATGTAATTTCATTTTACTTTATTTCACTACGTATTATTTTATTTTATTTTATTTTAAAGTTTCTAATTTATGTTACTTTTTCTTTATTTTTTAAAATTGTTTTATTTTATTTTTTTTTTGTAATATTTTGGTTTTATTTGAATCTTATATTATTTATTTTATGCTACTTTATATCTATTTTTTATTTATTTCTTATTTTATTATATTTAATTTCATTTGCTTCTATTTCATTTCATTTTATTTCATTCCACGTCATCTCATTTTATTTTATTTTATTTTATTTTATTTTATTTTATTTTATTTTATTTTATTTTATTTTATTTTATTTTATTTTATTTTATTTTATTTTATTTCATTTTATTTTATTTTATTTTATTTTATTTTATTTTATTTTATTTTATTTTATTTTATTTTATTTTATTTTATTTTGTTTATTTTATTTTATTTTATATTATTTTTTTTTATTTTATTTTATTTTTTTTTCATTTAGTTTTCTTTAATATAATTAAATTTTATTATCTTATTTTATTTAACTTTACTTTACCTTATTCAAATTAATATCAGTTAATAGAATTTAATTTAAATTTTCTTATTTTATATGTGTATGTTTTTTGTTTTATTTATTTTTTTCACTTTGTTTTTTTTATATATTAAAATTTTTATATATCTATTATTTTTTTACTCCTATCTATATTTTAATTCATTTTGTTCCTTTTTTCATTATATGCAATGTTATTGTATCATATTTAAGTTAATATAATTTATTTTAATTAGATATTAATTTATTGCTTTCTTTTTCGTGATCATTCTTTCACTTAATTATTATTTTTTTAATATTATATTACATATTTTGTTCTTTTTTACGTCTTACTTTATTAGAATTAATATTCAGTTACATACATTTTGAGTTTTAATTAATTTAATTATTTCTATTTAATGTCATAATTAGTTTTTCGAAATATTTACAAATATTTAGTTACAAACTTAATATATAGATCACTGAAAATCATTTGTCGCATTTTTTCTCTTTTTGTTGTCTTTTTTTTCTTAGTAGACCACACATTTACGGCACACAAATACACAAGCTAATAATTGTAGTAGTCGAATGAAAATAAGTAGCAAAGGAAAAGTAATTATTTTAATGTTTTTATTGCTGTCTACTATTTTACGGTAATAACTTTTTCAATTGTAATTAATTTTCATGCAATAGTTTTTTCATTTTAATTTTTTATTTTATTTAATGGATTATCATCTTTTGTCATGATAAATTAAATTTTTTAGTTGTTATTTCTGTGTTCCTCTTCTTTTTTTTTTTAAATATACACATCTATATGTTTGGTGTTTTGTGCGCTTTTCAAGTAACCACTTTTACTAACATTATAATTATATTTATTTACACATGAAAACCAATTAAAATTATAATTTCAAATTCAAGCTAAAAAAATTTACAGTTTTTAAGTATATTTGTATTTTTGTATAATTATATATTTTTTTTTTTACAAAAAAATGCTTTTGCTGAATACACGTATTTTTCCGAGTTTGCAAGTAAATTTACAGCGCTTACATACAAGTACATTTAACATATATACATATACATGTACATGCACACATATTATAAATACAAAAATGTATGTTATAATGTACGTATGTATATATGTACATATATAATTAAGTCTTTGTTGGAGACTCATTGCTCTGCCAGCCTCTACAAAATACATTTTCGCAAAAAAATATTTTAGGCTGACAATTCGAAATATTTCCTCTTGTGCTTTAAAGCTAAAATTTACAATAATTTTTACAATACATTATTGATAAATTTAATTTAAAGCGTAGCTAATAAAACCTAAAGCTGCAATTAGGCAAATAAAAAAAGTTACAAATTAATATATATATAATATTTTTTCTTACTACAAAAAATAATCACGTAAATTACTGCCACGACAGTAAAGACGAATAATATTTTGAGAACTACGAATGAAATACGAAACAGTTTTGGTACACGAAGTGCGGCTGTTGAGTCTAGGAAAAAAATTAATTGTGAAAAACAAAATTTGTCCACCTCGATTAGAAGAATATTAGGCAAAAGTTGTCAAACTGGATTTATCAAATAGAAAAACTCTTATATCGGAAAAACAAATTATTATATATCAGTGTTGGGTCTGCCTTCGCCTTAACATATATACCCGTCGATTGCTCACGTACAATCCTGAAAAGTTCTCTACGAGGTATTCTCGATAACTAACATTCGAAGTACGCGCTCTAGAACATGCTGCAATTGTGGTTTAAAATTCCTTAAATCAGTGCGGTATTCAATTCAGTTTAGGTCAACTGAAATTATGATATTTTTCTTCTTAGAACCTTTAGGGCAATGTTGCTTTTCACTTTTTAGAGCTCTTTGGGAGAAGAAAAAACAAGTTCTAAAGGCAAATATGAAGATTAAAACTTAAAAAAAAAATTTTATTAGAAAATTTTATTATGAGCATCGTAATTGAGGTGAAATTCAACTTTGATCTTGGAAAGGACGTCTATTTATTTTACGCACTGTATGTTTTAGGATATAAAATCTATTGTGCTTCCATTTTGATTTCTTCACTTATTGAATTTTTTTTTTGGACTTTTTGCATTTCTTTGCTTTGCTACATGGCAGTGTTTTCTCGTTAAGTGGTGTTTTTGTTATATTTTTTCAATTTTTACTCAGCACTCCGGTACTGTATACCAGAAAATGCCTATCCCACAAATTTTTTTGGCTGTTTGAAAATTGTCTTCTATTTCAAAAAATATTTCACGATTTTTGATATTTAAATTTCCATTACTGAAAACCTCGTTCTCAACTCTTCAGCTTTTACTCTTTCTTTGCAATTTCTATATTTCTCCATGGCCTACTCTAAACTATCTCCCCCACTTTTATTATGGCCTCACAAACGTACACATCTCAATGCTGTTTCTATTCGCCGCCGCTGCCGAGTGTTCGTAAGCGCATTCGTATTTCTCATAGTAGGCGCTGCGACTTGTGCCGCACCAACCGCCCTTTAGCGTATATCAGTGATATCGTCTTAAACTACCGTTATTATTATTATTATTGCTGCCACCAACGCCGATGGCAACACTGCCGAAGTGATTTGCGCCACCACCACCTATCGTTGCATAGCCATTACTACAGTTATTATTATTGTAAGTTGCCACGCGCTGGCCAGCAGTGATGTTGCCGCCAGTATGCAGCATTAGTTGTCCGTTACGTATGGGTAACGCTGGAGGCGGTGGTGTCGGCGTTGGCGTGGTCGGGCCTCCGTTTAAAGCGTGATCTAACGGCAGTGAGTAATGCGAATTGTTATGTATGTAATTACACTCACTCTCACGCGGTGAACGTTCACCATTCAGAGTGTTGGCGTGTTTATTGCTGCTAATGCTGCCGTAGGGTCCGTGATTGTGATTGAAGTGATCCTGCGTTAGACGTATGTAGCGATCAGCTGTAGCGGTGCCGCGTTGTGGTGCGCCACTGCTTTGATTGGCTTGATTGGCAAGATGCTGGCTGTAGGGTGGTTCGTGGGAGAGCGAGCTTTCGGCGCGTTCATTAGCTGAGTGTGCGTCACGTCGTGCGCTGCCGAAGCGTGGCAGCGAGGACATAGCATGCGCATGTGGTGGTGGTGGTGGTGCTTTGCCGCCATTCGGCAATTTGTTGTTCGTATTGCCACCGCAGGTGTTGTTGTTGGTCATCATATGTATTTGGCTGAGCTGTACGAAGGGTGATTGTAGCTCGGCAGGCAGGGCGCCATTAGCGTGCACACCATTCGGGACTTGCAGTTGTTGTAGCGTGTTTGTAGCGGTAGTTGATGTTGTTGTTGCATTGCTGCTATTCACCGTCGCGGTCGAGTTACCCCAACCTCGATGTGGAGGTGGGGGTGGCGCTTCTAGCTATAGTTCGGTTACGGGTATGGGCCTTGAGCCCATGTACGGCTGCGTCTGATGCATATTATAGCCACCGTTATTGGTGTATGGCATTGTGGGCTGTATACTCAGACTGCAAGGGTGCTGCTGACGCGTCATGTACTCTTCATCTGAACACGTCTTCTGGTATTCACGTTCTTTGCGACCCAACGCAGAATTGCCCCAACCGCCTTTGAGCGTTTCACGTATGCGCCGCCGGCAACCGTAAACGAGCAGCGAAAGACCGGTTATAGTGGCGGTTGTTACCACGACGACCACAATTATCATCGCTTGCTGCTTGGAGTCGCTATGCGAGCAACCGAGCATTGCCGGCGACAACTGTGAGAGTGGCTCCTTACGCATTGGCTCGGGATATGCGCACATTACACCAATTAGACGATCTGTGGTGGAGTTCTTTGAGACCAGCAAATTGCGTAACCACAAGACCTGACAGTCACACACGATGGGATTGTCGGAGAGATCGAGCGTTTGTAGGTCGGACCATGGTATAAGACCTTCGGATAGTGTGTGTAGATCATTCTCCTTTAGTATGACATGACGCAAATGTGGCAGGCCGCTCAAAGCATTCTCCTGCACCTCTTGCAGGATTTTATTTGCCGAGAGATTTATATGCTCGAGATTTGTGTTTGCGCTGAAGGCGCCATTTTGTACGCTGCGTAGATGTTGTGCGCCTGTGATTTCGAGCTTCCGTAATTGCTTTAGACCGGTAAAAGCGCCACTACCAATAACTTCAAAATCATTTTGACCTAACAACAGCTCCTCCAAGCGCTCCAAATGATTGAGTGCAGTAGTAGGCACCACTTGTAGGCGATTATCGGCCAGATCTAAATATCTTAAGCCTTCCAAACCCTTCAATGCTTCAGCAGAAACATTATGTAAACCAGCGCCACGCAAATCTAAGCGCGTCAATCCCCTCAGATCCACGAAGGCATTGGCTTCGATGGACGTAAAAGAGTTAGTGCCCAAATACAGCTCGGCTAAGTTTGGCATTGCTTGAAAAATGCTCGGCGCAGGCACAGTAGTCAGTGTGTTGTCATCTAGATAGAGTGTGCGCAGATTCATCAAACCATCAAAGGCATGTGGATCAATACGATTAATACGATTCTGGCCCAAATTCAGCTCGGCTAATTTAGACATTTTCGCAAAAGTACCCTGCTCGAGTTCGGCCAATAAATTGCCACGCAAATTGAGCACGGTTAATGCAGCTAAGCCCACAAAGGTCGTATTGCTGATTTGTCCGATTTTATTATGATTCAAATGTAGCTCCTGCAGCTTACGTTGGAACTGGAATGTGCGCATCGGTAGCGTGACCAAATCATTGTAGGAGAGATCGAGAAATAGTAGCTCTGCGTAGAATTGCAGCGAAGAGTCGATCGTTTTGATTTTATTGTTCTGTATGACGAGGCGCTGTATGAAGGGATTCAACGTAATTGGTAGCACATCCAATGTACCTTCGCCACATCTCACCACCAATGTATCGTCATCGCATTGACAGCTGTTCGGACAATTCGCTAGCGCATATGTCGGTTGCGCAAGTGTCGCCAGCGCGAAGAGGCAGCTCAGGAGAGCGCAGAGTCTTGTTACCATAAGCTGTCTACTGCTGGTGTGTATTCGCTGACTTGTTGACGCTGCAGCGCCTCTCGCGTGATTTTGTGTTTTCTTCGTCGTCATTTTCGAGTTTGTTATTTTTTGTATTGTTGTTTTGATTATGTTTATTGTTAGCTGCCTTCCTTGCTATAATTTTATAGCTTATATTTAACTGGTTTGAACATTCGTTCGCTTCGTGAGTCTCTTGTTCTGTAGTTGGAGCAAGTATTTCGACTTGACGATCGTTTGTGCAGGAGTTTCATTCAAAAGTGTTTTTTCCCTAGATAACTGCAAAGAGAAAATAAATTACTTAAATTAGTTGAGATGATTTTCATTATATTCTTAACTTTTTTTTATAAAACAAAACTTTCTTCTACTTTACTAAAATATTTAAAAATACTTTAAGCGATATTATAATTATTCCCCACTAGGATGAGGCAAATCAGCATCTTTCGGTTTAGCTTAATATGAGATTATAGAGAACAGTTTTATAAATAGAAATTATTTGCCAGTTTTCAAAAGAAACAAAACCCCATTCTGCGTGCAAGAAGACTCTCAGCCGAGCAAACAAATATAACAAGAATTCAGTAAGCAACTCTACCCAAACTAACAGCAGTACGGAATGAATCAGTCAGTGCATACGAAATGAGAAAAATAATTAAAGTTTACAAGATCGTCTATCCCCAGGCCTAGCTGCCAGAATCATCAATAATGCTGAAGATGGCGATAGGACGCTCACATCCCATCCCTACTCCGCACGGACAATCCAAGGTATGTAGACTAATAAACAAATACAATTTTCTTAAACCATAAAAAGACGGCGTATTCTACGGTTAGGGACTAAGTGAGCAGGAGCACAATAGTATTGATAAAGAGCTGTCCGAAGCTTACGAGAACGGCTAAAGCTTAATGCTTAATGTGTTGCCTGAGCTGCTTCGAGACAAAATACACAACTGATTTCACAACAGCAACTAAGGCTGCTTAACGCGGAAGTTATTTAGAAGGGGTTTCGCCAATTTTTATTCTCTTCCCATCACCTGAGGAAGAAAGACTATATAGAAATATCTGCACAGTCTAATTTTAAAGCGTTCATAGCTCGGGGCATCGGAGGAAACAACAGTTCTTCAAGGATATTGCGTTGATTTCACTTCGCATATGTCAAGACTGTTCAACTTTTCCATTACTGAGTATATTGCTACAACCGGGAATACAGGTGGAGGAATGCCGCGCAAAGGCGCAAATCCGAGTGTGAGGCTGCGTTCCATATCACATCTTCCCGTAAATTTTCATTTGTTCCCTCTGCATTTTCGCGGGTTCCTCAGAGCCTGCTTCGACGTGTACAAGAGGCAAGGTACTTCGAAGAGTTTCAACGCGAGCGCTTGTAGTGTTGAACTCGTGTCAGTTTAATGTAGACCTGCACTGCAACTGGGTGTGAGTCTCGATGGACGGCAGAGATTTAAATAGGTATTGATTGAAAGGAAATTCGAGTCGTGATTTTTACTGTAAGGGACACTAATCAATGTATTTGCTTGGTCTGCTGAGTTCACTTTAAGTCCAAAGTGCGATATTTCATGACTGGTAATGTAATATTGTGGTAGTAATGTCGCTTGGACTAATATAATATCTTCTTCTAGCTTAATAGACGAAAAGAGCGGGAGACTGCAGACTTTTTGAGATGCGCGTCGCTCTTGTATAAAGCCTTATTTATACACTCTGACGTGGACATTTATTTTGTAAAGATATTGCGGCTATAAGGCACATGGCAAAGAGCATTTTAAGGCTGTGCCAAAAGCAAGATGAAAAACACCTCTGCATCAGAAAGAAGTGGTTAAAGTAGATCAATTGGATAAGTGCTCATAAGATTGCAAGGTTGTAGACCCCATCGGACTGAACACGTAGTGTGGTTAAAAAAATTAGAAATTTTAGAGCTTCCAGATATAGTAACACTCTTTCGTGTGGAACGTCTCGAGGAAGAAACCATCAAAAAAAAATATTTGGACTCACAATCTGGAGGATTTATGGTTTGAACTCTAAAGGGTATACAAATTTTGGAGCATAGAAATTTTCTTCCCTTACGGAGATACTTTCTTACATTTTTTTTGCTTTTTGATACAAGGAATATTTCAACTCGAAACTCTCAATGCGAAATGAGTTCCCAAAGTTTAATTCAAAATATTCAAGATTTTTCCAATTTGAAATTTGATTTAAAAAATGGAATGAAATTCAATAAAGTTAAGCAAAGCTCTGGAAAGTAAAAAAACTCTTTTCTTTAGAAATGAATTTTGTATTAATTTAAAAGGTCATTAAATCAGTAAGTCGCTTACTTTAACTATTCACCATTTTGTTAAATTCATTACCATGACCCACACTTCCCCAAGGGCTGCAAGCTACATACAACGAAGCACTGCAATTTCCGGTTCCTTGCACGCTTCAGATCGACCCGAGTGCGGGTAAATAAATGTATGAGGTAACTACATATGCATATGTACACACATATTCATATTCATATTCATTTACCACGACTTATAAGTAATTGGAGTTGTTGCTGCGTATCCTTTTGCTCGTACCTCCAGCTTTCGCTTTTAGGTTTTATATCTTATTCTACTTTTTACATGCATGTTTTTTTCATTAAGTCATTGTTGAAAAAATAAATAAAAAATAAATAAAAAAAAAAAAATCAAGAAAGTCAGAGAATCGCAGGCCGGAGGGAGCTAACGATCCTTTGGCCATATTCTTTTTTTCTTGGATCTTTTGTCCGCCAACAGACTCGACCGCCATTCGAACGACCCTTAAGCGCTGAGAAAATATTAATCTTTTATGAGTAAGTATGTGCGTAAATGGATTTTTTAAACTGATGGCATCCTTCCGCAGTGAATACATTTTCCTGTCTGCGTAGGTTGCCGGTTGGTTGCTGGTTGCGGGTTGCTGTATGATTTTCCTAGCCAAAGTTGGTTTGGTTGTTGGTAAATTCGTTCGTTGCTTTCAGTTCCTTAAGGCGTTTTTATGCTATGCCATACGTGCTTGTATGAATGCAAATGCCAGCCCAACTCAATCATTTTTGCATGCTTTTATGCGTATACCTATTTACTTTACTTTCTTACATTTCTTTTCATTAAATGTAAATATTACATAAACACCCAGCGGCAATGCTGGTTGTATATTACATACATACATTCATGCGTTGGAGGGAGTAAAGACGCTGCACAGTGGTGAAAACGGTCGAGTGCTATGGTAGGATAGAAAAGCTTTTCACTCAAATATATTAAAAAAATTTGTGCATGAGATACTGGACGGCGTCCCAATCTGCTGGGAAAAAGGTACTAAAAAACTATGAAAATCGTAGTTCCTGACGGTTATATATATCAAATTTTCTCGGTTTTCGAAAGGTTTCAATTTGGCTGTCTGTCTGTCCGTCCGTGTACAAGATAACTGCACTAAGGATGGAGATATTTGGATTAGAGAACTTTTAGAGAAGAAGCGTACAGAGCGCGCTGTGAAAACGCACTTTAAGTGCTGGCACAGAATAGTACCCAGTGCCTGAGCAGTAAAGTAAAATCGAAATTGACAGTCACGCGGGGTTGTCACATCCCCAGTGTACAAAGGAGGTTGAGTTTAGTGGGTAGGGATCTGGCGTCAAATCGGTATTACACGTGTCTAAGAAGAGTCCCTACCTAGTGAAAAAAAACAAGAATGCTCGCTTATGCAAACGGGTCATATAGGGCCAATGTCACATATAAAATAATTTTTTACAGCAACAAAAATCGTGATAACTTAAAAAACAAATTTGCCAATAAAGTCATATTTTTTACGATCGCATTAAATGGAAAAAATTAAGAGAGGAGAGGAGAGGAGAGGAGAGGAGAGGAGAGCCTAACATCAACACACGGCCGCAAAAGATAAGTGGCTATCATTTCGCGCTGCTATTCTGAAGACCATTTCCTGGTTCCGTCAACATTCAAGTTAATTTTTCAACTTGCTGTCCCCCTCATTTGGGAATGTCAACTTCTGCGAGTGTATTTCTGACAAAGAAATCAAACGTTTTTCGTAAAAACTCATCCCGGCCACGTAATGGAGGAGAAGCACTAACTCCCCTGCGGGTTGGGCCTTGAAGAGTTTACGCGCTCCGGAGTTTTATCCGGCCAAGGACTGTCGCTCTCGCAACATTCCCCTAAAAATATTTTTGTGGTTACAACAGCAACAAAAACAACAACAGCAGAAGAAGCTCGGCCCAAAAAGACTTCAGGGGTTACAAAACGCCAATTAGTTGTTCTGGATTGAATATTTATACTGCGTAAGTGAGACATAAATGATACTGAATTTGCTATCGTAATTACCAACTTAAACTACGAATTTTGACCACTGTCCGGTGCCTTAACAAAAGAAATACTATCTTCGTGCATATAAACATGTAGATGTGTGTATGTGTCTATGCGGGTGCTGCAGCGCAATCAGTCTCTGCGGTCTGACCGCAAAAAAATATTACAATATATACCGTCATTATCATACTTTTGCCATAACCAACTTGTTGGACGTGTTCGTACGCTGAGCATTTGGCAGCCATTTGTAGGTTATATTTTCACTGCATAAAGAAGCACAAAAAAAAAAACAAGGAAAAACGAAAAAAATGTGTCATGTAAAGGATACGCATATATGCACTCACTTACACACACACACACACACATACACCCCATACCCACACACCCACTTTAGCACTTGTATGCCAACACAACAATCATGTAAATTTATATGACCGTTTACCGGAAGGAAGAAATTTTCCTCATATCAGTTAACATTTTAAAATGACGGCGCTGGGTGAAAAGCTTTCTCTTGCCATTCACTTCCTGCCACCGCTTGCTTGCTGGTGTGTGTGCGTGTATGTGTGTGTGCGTGTGTGTGTGTAGGCAGTCAGTCACTCAGTTAGTCAGTCAGCCTATCTGTCTGCCAACTCTCTCTTTACGACATATTTTCCTCTGTTAACTCTTCGTTTTGTGCCTTTCTTCAATCACTCGTGCGTTCAATTCCATTGTCTTGCCTTTCACACACATTTATTGCCTTCCTCGCTACCCTGTGTCGTGCATACAACAGCATATACACAAACACACACATATATAGTTATCAGCCAATTTCTGTGATAGAAAGCCGACTTTATGTTCGTACAAACAGTTCAAACATTTTTTATGGCACACCATAACCATGGCAATAAAATGATGTGTGGCTTTTTACTGCGGCATTCTGTTGCGTATGCTCGCGTGTGTGTGTGTGTGTATGAACGAGTGTGAGTGT